TCCCGTTCCAGAAATACTGGGGGGCAGCAGCACGCGCCCCCACGCATGGCGTGCCACGGCACAAGGCCGCGTCCCCACGCGGCGCCCATGCGCGCGCCCTCCCGTGTGGTCGGCCTCGGGCTGCAGCTTCTGTGTCTCCTCCATGTGTCTCCATCTGTGTCTCCACACTTCAGGAAACCATCTGCGTCCTTAGTTTTTTCTTTCCAAATAATCTCACATGGTGACTAAAAATATGCGGGATAGTCGGACGGACATAAACCAACACCGTGACAGATACTCCGCCATACTAAAAAAATAAAGTTATTTTAATAAAGACTTGGGTCAAACATTAGCAATATAAATCATGATAACCTTTAAGTTGTTGAGTTTGAAAATATAAAAGCCATATAAATAGATTTGTCTTGAAAAATATTTTTATAAAAATATACATATATTATTTTTTGATAAATATTTTTATAAAAATAAGGAGTCAAAAGTAATACTTTGAAGACCATGTCGCTGTAAAAAACGACTTTATTTTTTTAGTATGGAGAGAGTACAGCTGACGGATAGATGACTGTGGCCATGTTCGCTTCTCTTATAATCCGTCTTTTTCAGCTTGTTTTTTCAGCCGGAACAGCGTTTTTCTCTCACAATAAATCAGTCAGAACAGTGTTTCGGTTTGTTTTTTCAGCGAAGCGAACGGAGCCTGTGTGGTTGTAAAAAACCTGAGGGCCCATGGCCCAGCCAGGTCCTAGAGTGTGGAGACAGATGGAGACACGTGGAGGAGACACAGAAGCTGCAGCCATTCGGCCGTCCCATCCCTCCGCTCTCTCGCTCCCGGATCGCCGCGAGCTCCTTTTGATTCGGGTCGCGTCTCCTCTCGCCTGCTTTGGATAAGCCCATTTGGAACTTGGAAGGTTGAGCCTTTGGGGCGCTCGCTCTCCTGCTTTAATTTCGCCGACCCGGGCCGCCTGGCAGATACGAGGAAACGGTGCGGCGGGTTTCCTAGCAGCGTTCAAGGAGCTCCTCCTACTCTGGCCTCTGGGGCTCGGACGGAGAGGTACGTCGACCTTGTTTCTTGTACGTACGTGCGATGTGCACGTGGGGCGCAGTCTACTTACCAACTGCATTCGGCCCAAGTGTTTGTGGAAATGCCTGGGTGTGTGATTGGCGGTTTTGCTTAGGGCTTTGTTTGGCTACAACTCGCCTCTAACTCAATCCATGCGTGTTCAAGTGCATTAAGGTGAAAATTAGTTAATTTTTCATTTCAATTCAACCCAATACACGTGGATCGAGGTGAATGCGGTATGAATTAAGATGGATTAGGTGCAACCAAACAAGGTCTTAAGAGTTGGCTGATGCACCTTGTTTTCATTGCCTCATCACGTCACCTTGATTCCTTAGTCTCATTTGATCCGAGAATTGAAGTTAGTTACTACTTATTTGTTGGGCCCTTGCCCGCAGTAATGTATGCCTCGCCTTCATCAACTTGTTATAGCTTTTAGGTGAAACCTCCACTGTTTTTTCCTTTTTGAGGGTGTTAGATCCTGGAAGGGGTAGCTATGATGCAATTGGGCAATGGCATATGGCAATGCTTTTCCGCTTGCAATGGGCATAATTGTTGTTAGTTTAAACACCAATTGCACAATGTTAACTTGCCTCAAAGTTTATTTAAAAAAAAACAAAAACAAAAATCATGTATGATCGGTCGGTGGTTAACAATTGGTTGCTTGTACTAGATTTTCGTGCACATCCATGTTGACAGTGTGGATATTATCCCCTGTCCTACCGAGATGTTGATCTTCTCTTGCGTATTTGCGTTGTATACACATAAAAGAATAATAGCATGTGGTCTACTATGCAGGTAATTTATGGAGATAAGCATCTCTTATGTATGCTGTGTCCATGACCATGAGTCCGGGTGTTGATACATGCTGAGCTCTTGATGTGATTTTTTTTTCTTTTGTTAGGCCAAAAATGTACCATCACTGGTGATGTTCTCCTGTATCATCTGCTTGGGGACATAGATGGATGAATATTTTTCACGCTTCCTAAACCTTGGTCGGCAGCTAAGAGAATACTTGACAGAATTAATAGGTACCAGTACCAACAACTTGAGCTTGTACGTCTTAGTTCACAGAACTACATGGGATTTGAGCATACTGATATTTTAGAGCACCTAGCCATTTTGTTTCTTTTTCTGATTCTGAATTACAAGTTCCTTTATATTTATATGAACAACTAGTTTGATGCTTGACTACTTTCTGTTAGATAGTACATGATTTTTATTGACTTGGAGAAGACTTATGATAAGATACCAAGAAATATTATGTGATGGGCTTTGGACAAACATAAAGTCCCATCAAAGCACGTGACTCTCATCAAGGACATGTCCAACAATATTGTGACTAGTGTTCGAACAAACGATGGTAACACAGATTACTTCCCGATTAAAATTGGACTTCATCAAGGGTCAGCCTTAAGCCTGTATTTCTTTGCCTTAGTAATGGATGAGGTTACCTAGAACATACAAGAGGATATCCCTTGGTGTATGTTGTTCGCTGATGATGTAGTGTTAGTGGATGAAAGCCAGACGGGAGTAAATAGGAAACTAGAGTTATGACGATAGACCCTTGAGTCTAAAGGTTTTAGATTGAGCAGAACTAAAACCGAATACATGAGATGCGACTTTGACGGAGCTGCACAGGAGGAGAGAGATGTGAGTTTGGAAGGTCAAGTAATCCTTTCAATATCTAAGATCGATGCTACAGAGGGATGGAGATATTGATGTGGACGTTAGCCATAGAATCAAAGCAAGGTGGATCAAGTGACGACAAGCTTCTAACATTCTCTGTGACAAGAGGGTACCACAAAAGTTAAAAGGCAAGTTCTATAGAATGGCAATTAGACCGGCTATGTTGTATGGAGCAGAATGTTGGCCTACAAAGATTTGACATGTTCAACAACTGAGTATTGCAGAAATGTGTATGTTGCGATGGATTTGTGGTCACACAAGAATGGATCGAGTTCGGAACGATGATATATGTGATCGCCTAGGGGTAGCACCAATTGAAGAAAAGCTTGTCCAACATCGGTTGAGGTGGTTTGGCCATGTCCAAAGGAGACCTCCAGAGACACTAGTGCATTGTGGAGTCCTAAACCAAGCTAATAATATGAGAAGAGGTAGAGGAAGACCAAAATTGATATGGGGATGCAATAAAAAGAAATTTGAAAGATTGAGATATAGCTAGAGATCTATGTTTAAATAAGAGTGGTTGGAAAACAGCTATTGAAGTGCCTGAACCGTGACTTGGGGCTTTTGGTGGGTTTCAACTCTAGCCTACCCCAATTTGCTTGGGACTGAAAGGCTATGTTGTTGTTGTTGCTGCTGCTTACATGATGCAATATAGCATAGATACAATTTTACAAGGCTATCATAATTGAGGTCTTCATTACTATAGGTTGTTGTACTTAAGGTTGTAGATCTTAAGTCTCATTATTATCCTTAAAAACAAGATATGCAGACCATGTTCAGTGTTCGCAGAGCCAATGTTCTAAAATAAATTATCTATTTTATTGTCATTGTGAAAAAAAAAAGTTGTTGACGTGCCGGAACCATGCCTAGAGATCTTTGCTTGGATATGAGTGCTTGGAAAGAAGCTATTGACGTCTATGAACCGTGACTAGGGGCTCATATTGGGTTTCAACTCTAGTCTACCCCAATTTGCTTGGGACTAAAAGACTTTGTTGTTGTTGTTGCTGCTGCTGCTGCATTGTGGTTAGAATTTTTGACTGGATAAGACTGTGTTGATGAGACAAATCCTTCTCGAAACTAGAGAAGCCTGAAATTTGATGTTTTTGTTGTGTTTTTCTTTCTTTTTTTTTATGTGTTTGTCTTTATCCTAGCAGAAAATTAGCTTCGGTCCGTTGATTGGATTCCTCAATGTCTTGGAGTCCAATTCTCTGATAGCCATGGAGGATCATTGACTGGCACCACAGGATATCTTCATGAAGGGGCATTTGCATTATCTGTTAGTAATACTACTACAAAAGAACAGACTACAAAAGGAACCTGAAGACACAATTTTCAGAAAAGGATTTTCCAGTATTGATGAAAGGTTCAGTTTTCTTATAGCTTCATCAACTAGTAAGCCGATTACATCCATTGTTGTCTTGTCTTGTGTCCCACATTTACTGTGCAACTGTTTGTGTTGTTAGATCATATGTCAGGTCTTCCTATCTTTTACATGGCTTCAGGCTGGTACGAAGATTGGCATTCAGTGTGCGAGATCAGTGGATTCTGTTTTCAAATGAAGTGCATGCCAAACTAACCAGGTTAGTTAATGTCTTCTCTGTTCAGACCTCTATATTTGCTTACATGTTGCATCTTGTGGCCTGAGGACTCCGTGTAGGTTGCAGCCCAGTTTTCTTTGTTCTAATTAGTTCTAAGATGTCATTTTTTTATCACAGGATCTTACATCGTTTCTGGACAACACTACAGGGATCTTGTGAAGATATAGGATGGTTGCAAAGAACTCGGGCATCACTTTGTTCGGTTGATGGAACAGGTCGATTCAAGGAGATTTTGCATGAGATCAGGTGAATTTTTTGTGCCCAGTTTTAGTGAACTCCACAAAATAAAAGAAAAACATTACACACTAGCACTTTTTTGCAGAAAGTATTTGTAGCATGCTTCCAAATACTTTAGTGTGAAAATTTGAGCATAAACTACCAATTAAGTTAGAAATGGCATGCACTGCCTTATGTTAATCAGTTCTGAGAAGGCCGACAATACTAAAAGCTGCCTTATGTTTCAGAAATGGCACGCACTGCCTGCCTGATACACTGGTTTACTTATTTATTCCTGGTGAGATATCTTTCTCAACGTAGCTAGTTTCTGGGGATGATCCATAAATGCCATTGCTTACAAATTATCCCGTTTGTACTCCTTTATGCAGGCCTTTTTAGCAACCACAGTCCACTTTACTTCACCAATACGAAACGGTTCTTTTAAAAAAATGGGATTGGCTTGCCATATTGCGAAAATTCATAGCGAGGTAATTGAGCTGAAGGGTGGCATGCAAGAGTTTTTTTTCCTAGTGCTAGGTTTCATTCTTGCTTCATACTATGTCCTGAAGCAGCTGCTGCTTGTACTAGTATTTCGTACTGTTATTCCTTTCACTTACCATTTGCTTTGTCTAGGCATCAGTGGAGAATAACGCGTGGGAACTGAAACAATACATTGAGGAGCTCTACTGGGGATCTGGTAAGCAGGTTCTGCTCCTTGGCCATAGCAAAGGTGGAGTTGATGCAGCTGCAGCTCTTTCCTTGTACTGGTCTGAGCTCAAGGGTAAGCAGCCTGTTCGGTTGGCTAGTTCATATCATTGCTGGTTCGTAAAGAAGTACTGCTGGCTAGTTTGTGTGAGAGAAAAATACTGTTCCGGCTGGAAATTTACGATCGTTTACGACAAGGCACAGCAAAACGAACAGGCTGCTGCTGGCCTGGCGTTGGTTCAGAGCCCATATGGTGGCACTCCAGTCGCCTCCGATATCCTTCGAGAAGGCCAGATTGCTGATAAGGAGACAAGGAGGATCATGGAGCTCATCGTATGCAAACTAATCAAGGTCCCTATCATGAACTGTTTCTCGGTCAAATCTTTTGTTCACAAAATTGTTCATTCATATCTCATCCATTTCAGTCTTCAAAACAAATGAACAATTGCAGGGTGACATCAGGGCCTTGGAGGACCTCACATATGCTAAGAGAAATGACTTCATCTCCAAGCACAAACTCCCCATCGATGAGCTGCCGATCATCTCCTTCCACACCGAAGCCAGCACCGCGCCCACAGTGCTCGCGTCACTGACCCGTGTCGCCCAAGCCGAGCTCCTCCCATGGCTTCCCCTGCCACGGTTCTTCCTATCTACATCCGACTTTGTCGAGTCAATGCTCGCCTCTCTGAAGGTCCCCGTGGTCGCGCCTGTGTCGGCAGCCATGGCGGTCACAGCCCTCCACCTGCGTCTGCGCTATGGGGAGAGGAGTGACGGGCTGGTGACACGGCGCGACGCCGAGGTACCTGGGTCAGTGGTGGTGAGGCCCGAGAGAAGGCTGGACCATGCGTGGATGGTTTACTCCACGCTGAAGATGGGCAGCGCTGAGGCCGATGCAAGTGAGATGTGCGAGGCTCTGCTGGCCATGCTCGTTGAGATTGGCAAGAAGAAATTTCGCTGAAACACTGCCTTCTCGAGAGTTCCTAGTGAACAGTAGAGAGAGGCTACTTTTCTCCTTTTTGGAGTGATTTTGTCCTTTTTGGTGTAATCTCCGATCACAAAAGGTGTCGGATCTTGTGTTCTGCTCCAGTCCCAAGCTACCTGTCCGCATCTCTTGTTGCTGCGGCTGGGATTTGGGAGCTTCCAGAGTGCTTTTGGGTTTTCTCAAGAAGCTAAGTTAAAGTTCATCAGATCCTGTTCCCTTCAGCTACTCAGGTTTGTCCATCCTCTCTTTATCGCGACTCGGGATGATTAAGGGGCGAGCCTAGCCTCGCTGCCAGTCCTTGGTTTGCGATACAGGAGAGGCCAGATTAACCTGAGTCATTCTTTGTTGTGGTGAAGTGGCAAGAAGATTGGGATTGGTGTGTATTTTATCTGGATTGTCTTTCAGCTTGCATGGAGCCTGGTAAAAACAGATTTCTTTGGAAGGCACGAATCAGGGTATAGGTGAAGGATTTGAGAACAAACAAACCTGTGGAGATGGTGTGACCGAATTATTCGGGCGCTTGAAGCTTACTCCTGAAGAAAGCAAAGTGTTGACAGTGGATGATGATGTGGAGGAAGGTCTCGCGACGTCAGATTGTGCCATTGTTGGTAAGGTCTTATCCTCTAGTGTTCTCCACTTACAGACTATCATAGGGGCGCTACGTCCTGCTTGGGGAAATCCAAAAGGCCTAGTTGCCAGATCAGTGGGAGAGAACTTATTCATTACGGAATTTGGGTCTAGACAGGATTTGGAACGTGTGCTTGATGGATCACCTTGGAATGTTAGTAAGCGAGCTGTGCTTATAAAAAGATATGATCCAAATCAGAGGCCCACAGATATTGTTTTTAATCTTTTGCCAATCTGGGTGAGAATTATGAATCTCCCTTTTGGTCTTATGAATGGTAAATGGGGAGGTCAGCTAGCAGGTATGATTGGAGAGGTTGAAAAATTAAAGTTAGATGACCAAGGAAGGGCGTGGGGACCTTACCTACGAGCAAAGGTCGCAATTGATGTTTCAAAACCTCTTCGACGTTGTGTCGGAATTTTCTCAGCACGACGACAAACTAACGAATGGTATGATGTGCAGTATGAAAAGCTACCTCACTTTTGCTTTTCTTGTGGAATTATAGGGCATTCGTCTATTGAATGTCCTAGCCCAGCAGCTCGTGATAACAAAGGCTTACTGCCATATGGAGAGAATCTTCGGGTCCCTGATGACAAGAAGAAAAAGCAAACTGACGATAAACAGGGTCATGCCTCACCATCAAGTGGCCGCAACGCCAATTCGAGAAGTCGATATGATGGTACTGAAACAAATTCAGCTCAACATATTTCTGTTAGTTTGGAGAATGAAAGGGATTTAAATAATAAATCTTTGAACAAACGAAGTGAAATTGCTGGAAGGGACAACTTAATTCTTGAGAATGATCAAATGGATATACAGGGCAGGAAACGCAAACAGAATGAGACTACAGAGTATGATATTGACTCTTCCCAATTAATGCATCAAATTTCGGTGAATGATCTGGCAATTGTACCTCTTGTCCCTGGATCACAGCCCACGTTTGAAGAACCTGACACGGGTTCTGATGATCTAGAACAGAAAAAGAAGATGAAGACAGAAGAAAATTTTCCCATGGAATTATCGGCGGTGGCTGGCTTCCAGCCCCGCCGACAGCAATGATTCTCTTATGTTGGAACTGTCGAGGATTAGGACGGGACTCAGTTGGAGAGCTTCGCTGGTTGGTGAAGCAATACCGTCCCTCCCTCCTATTTCGGAAACCAAAATGAGGGATGATAGTGTGTGAAAATTTATGTGGTCGCTGGGCTTCTCAGGTTGTTTGCAGTTAACAGCAAAGGAAGAAGTGGAGGTTTGGTTTTGTTTTGGACTGATTCCAGCAAGATATCACTGAAAGGTTACTGTAAAAACTTTATTGATGTGAGCATAACACAAGAAGATGGCCTTACGTGGAGAGCTACTTTTGTATATGGTGAACCAAAATTGGAACTGCGCCATGTGTTTTGGGATCGCATTAGATTTCTTCATGCTCAATGGGAGGGTCCTTGGATTTGTGCTGGAGATTTCAATGGAGTGCTAAATGGTCATGAACACAAGGGAAGATGTGACACAAGTAGTACTCAGATGAACTTATTCCGCGAATGCTTAGAAGATTGTGAACCGATTGATCTGGGATATATTGGGCCAAAGTTTACATGGAATAATAGATAGGCAGGGATTAATAATGTAAGGGTTCGTCTGGACAGAGAAGTAGCAAATAGTCACTTTATTCAACTGTTTGATGAATACCGGGTAGAAAATGTGGTAACATCTTCCTCAGATCATTATGCAATTAAAATAGTACTTGGGGAACATGGTCAGGGATCACGGAGTATACATGCTGTTGAACAATTCAGATATGAGGATGCTTGGTCTAGAGCCCCAGATTATAAAGATGCAGTGGAACAATTCTGGAAAGAAGGATATAATGGTCCTGTAAATCTTCAATCCACATGGAACAACTTGCAAAGTCTGGCTAGTTCACTGAAACAATGGAGCAGAGATTCCTTTGGGTCTGTCCGTAAGGAGATCAAGAAGCTTCAAAGTCGCTTGTCGAGGCTGTCTCTATCAAGCACCACAACAGATTTTTCACAGGAAAGAAAAAAATATCGAACAAAGGCTCTGTGAGCCGTTCGAAAGGGAGGAAATCATGGCTCGACAGCGATCAAGAGCAGACTGGCTCCGAGCGGGGGATCGGAACACAAAAAAATTTCATGCAAGAGCATCTGCCCGCAGAAGAAATAACAAAATAAGATATTTAGTACAAGAAGATGGTATAAAATGTGAAGATCAAGAAGCTATTAAACGTATGGCTACAGATTTCTACTCAAATTTGTTCTCTTCTGAACCAAATGCTAATATTGAAGCCATCCTTGATGCAATTCCTACCAAAGTGGATCAAAATATAAATGAAGAATTATGCAAACCATATACTGATGAGGAGATCAAAAAGGCATTGTTTCAAATGGGTCCAACAAAAGCTCCAGGCTCAGATGGATTTCCAACTCTTTTTTATCAACGACATTGGGATTTATTGCACAAAGAAATATGTCAAGCAGTAAGAAGTTTTCTATCTGAAGATGAGATTCCGGAAGGTTTATGCGACACAACTATTGTGCTCATTCCCAAAATGCCTAGACCAGAACATCTAAACAATTTCAGACCAATCAGTCTATGTAGTGTTATTTATAAAATAGCCTCAAAAGTTCTATCTAATCGTTTGAATCTTTTCCTTCCGGATATAATTTCTCAAGAGCAAAGTGCTTTTGTGCCAGGAAGGTTAATCACAGATAATGTGTTGATCGCATATGAATGCCTACACACAGTAAGGAGACAGCGATCAAAGACACCCTTCTTTGCTTTGAAAATTGATATGATGAAAGCTTATGATAGGGTGGAATGGGCTTATTTACGTGGTGTATTACAGAAGCTCAGTTTTCATGATTCATGGATATCTACAGTTATGCGGTGTGTTTCTTCGGTGCGATATGCCATAAGGATTAATGGTGAATTAACTCAAACCTTTTATCCAACAAGAGGCATTCGGCAAGGAGATCCAATCAGTCCATATCTTTTCCTCTTGTGCGCTGAAGGGTTATCATGCTTATTAAAAAAGAAAGAACAAGAAGGCTCTTTGAAAGGATTAAGGGATGGAATTTTAGGGCCATCAATATCCCATCTTTTATTCGCAGATGACAGCATCTTCTTTACAAGGGGGGATAAACGGAGTGTCTCAACACTGAAATCAGTGCTCCAGATTTATAGTGAAGGGTCTGGACAGCGAGTCAATTTACAGAAGTCATCCATCTTCTTTGGGAATCGATGTCTTGATGATTTAAAAGAAAGAGTAATGAATGAGCTGAACATCTACAATGCGGCACTGCAGTCTACTTATTTAGGTATGCCGATTTGTATTAAAAGATAAAAAATCAGCACCTTTGTTTTCCTGCTAGAAAGAATGTGGAAAAGAGTTTACGGATGGAGCGATAAATCGTTATCTAGAGCTGGCAAAGAAATTTTGCTGAAATCAGTTGTCCAAGCTATCCCTATATATATCATGAGTTGCTTCCAAATACCAGTTGGCATTTGTGATAAAATGAGATCAATCATCTCTAATTATTGGTGGGGCATCGAGAATGGAAACAAGAAATTGCATTGGCACTCCTGGGAATGGCTGACTGCACCAAAAGCATTGGAAGGAATGGGCTTTAGAGATATGGAATTATTTAATCAAGCGCTTCTAGCAAAGCAATTTTGGCGGCTACTTACTGTACCTGACTCTTTATGTGCTAGGGTGCTTAAAAATAGATACTTTCCTAATTCCTCTTTTTGGGAGGCAAGTTGCACTCGTAATGCCTCATACACCTGGAGAAGCTTGAATTTTGGGAAGAAACTTTTGATGAATGGAATTGTATGGAGAGTTGGTAATGGAAAAACAATACCTTTATCCGGTGTTCATTGGATACCAGGAGTTTTACAACAATTTGCCCAACCAATCATACCACTACCATAAGATCTGAAGGTGGATTTTCTAATTGATGAACGACAACGACAATGGAATGAGGAGTTAGTGCAGGCATGCTACTCGGAGGATACTGCTAATGCGATACTAAAAATTCCTTTAAGTCGTAATATGTGCGAAGACTCTGTGGCTTGGGAAAACACCACAGAAGGTATTTTTACTGTTAAATCAGCATATATGTTGGCAAAATCTAAAAAAAATCATTTGTTTTCCAGCACCAATGGCAAGGGAGGAACATCCAATATTCAACAAGTCACTAGTGACTAGAAACGCATTTGGAAGATACATGCTCCTGAGAAAATGAAAATAGTCTTGTGGAGGTAGGCTCATGATTGTTTACCTACAGGACAACAACTCTTAAGCAGGCATATTTGTACCACTGATGCTTGCTACTTTTGTGGACAGGTAGAAACGGTGGCTCATGCCTTCATCAAATGTCAATATATGGCAGAAATATGGCGTGAAATGAAGAAATGGTGTGGTATAAATTGTAAACTTATGCCGTTTATTTCCCCAAAGCAGTGGTTATGGGAGTTTTTGACTAATGCATCTGACGAAGAGGCTACTATCTTGACTTTAATTATCTGGCATATTTGGGATAATAGGAATGGTGTTAGAAATGGGGAAAATATTGTTCATCCATTTCGGATAGTTGAAAAAATAAAAGCATATATTCAAGTGGTAATGCATTGCGATGATGTTCCTGATTTTCCAACAGGTGTGAGCCTAATGCATCTACCAAACGATGAGTTCCACCGCCGGAAGATTGGGTTAAGGCAAATGTTGATGCTGCTGTTTTCAGTGAATCAGAAAGAATGGGAGCTGGATGTGTGATACGGGACCACAATGGAAATTTCTTGGCTGCAACAAACCAAGTGATTTGCAGAGTCTCTGAACCAGAAATGGCTGAAGCTTCCTGTTCGGTTGGCTGGTTCGTATCGTTGCTGGTTCGTTTATGTGAGAAAGAAGTACTGCTGGCTGATTCAGGTGAACAGTACTCATGTGAGGGGGCTGGCCAGCCCAGCCAGCCCAGCGATCAGGCGGTTGGCTGTCCGATGGGCTTTAAAGTTCATCTGTGATCAACACTTCAAGAAAGTGGTAATTGCTTCGGACTGCTTAAACTTGGTACGAAAGCTCATGCAAAAAAGTCTGGATAGGTCTCATATAGGAGCAATCGTCCAAGACATCAAGATGATGAGAAACAACTTTGATGATATTTCTTTTGTCTTTGTTAGTCGAAATTGTAATGAGGTAGCTCATGTATTAGCTAAGTCGACTAACCAGACGGCTGGTTTGATGTGTCTAAATGAAGCCCCGGAGTCCATTCGGGCTTTACTTTGTAATGATCTTCTAAGGTAATGAAAGTGCCGTCTGTTTTCAAAAAAAAATTCGCTGACCATCTGGTCATCTGGAGTTCTCGATGGTTTTGGTTATATATGCACAAATGTGTCGAACTAGATGGAACTTACGAGTAGCATAGCACAGTAGCAGTGTAGCACTATCTGATGTCACACACACTAAAAATGATAGATATCATAGAATATTACAGTCTTTACTGGGAACAGTGGAAAATAAATTTATTTCCTTTGTTGAAAGCAATTATACTGTGGCAACAGGCAATATGCAATTTGTTTTTGACGAACCATTGCTGCTTTGGCTTGTAATGTTCTTCACACTTCACATTTTAATTTAGTTCTGTTTGGAATGGTTTTGGTCTTTACACACGTCTTTATTTTAGTAGGAGAGAGTCACTTTGCCATACCGATTGCAAAATAAAGCCTTAACCCTCTTTGGCAGGGTTTGGGTTTCTCAGAGAACGGAAAATGTAGAGAAAGTCACGTTTTGGTGTTGTCGGCTTCTGACCAAAAATAGCTTTAGCTTCAACGATTTTCGTTTGGTTTTGGCTTTAGAAGCTGTTCTCATGTGTGCATGCTTGGATAGTTTTTATTACTAAAAAAGAGGGTTTCGGTAATTTCACACCAATATGTGATATATCTTTGTACCCTCAGGTTATTCAATTGCCTATTCTTTGAGTACGAAGTTGGTAAATAATTCACTCGTAATAAACACACAATCTCAGGATACGCATTTTTGAGCCTTTACT